CCCGTCCTAATAAAAAAAAGAAAAAAAAAAGAAAAATTCAAAAACCATATATTTTTGTCGTGTCGGCCCTGACCCGGCCTGGACCCGGCCCGCCGGGTCAGGGTCGAAAAAATCCCGACCCGGTATTGGCCCTTATGAAATTCGAGCCGGGCTCGGACCCGTGGTCAACGGGTTTGACCGGGCCGGTCCCGGGCCGGGTCCGTGCCGGTCCCGGGCCGGGTCGGCGGGCCGGTTGACCCGTGGCCATGTCTAGTAAGCCCTTATACAAAATATATATATATATATATATATATATATATACTAGTACAACGCCTGTGTATTACACGGGTGCTTGCTAATTTTTTTCTTCAAATCTAAAATTTTTTATTAAGAAAAAATAGTTGAAAATTTGAATACCTTTTATTAATATATATATATATATATATTATTATATTTAGTATGACACTTTTTATTTGTGTGACTTACTTGTGTTATATTATAATAATTTTTTAACTTACAATATATAACTACATAAAAAATAAATATATCAATTGAATAATAATTTTACTTTTCTAATAAATTTTAATAAATATTATTATTTTTTATTGTTATAAAGATAAATATAATTATTTATTTTATATATACAATATGGATGTCAAATCGAAGATCATGAAAACATGATTAATTTGATGAATTATATATGTAAAACCGATAAGAAATACAAAAGTTATCAACTTTTAAAATACATTTATAATTCAATAGCTAATTGAAGGAAACAAATCAAAAGTCAGGGATATATTAGTCACTTAGTGTCTCAATATGTAAAATTACAAAAAATTAAAGGGTAATATTAGTACAAGTGATATTAAAATACTTAAGTTAGCTAAATAATATTTATGGAATGTCCGAAACTAGATTATTAATTATTAATATATCAATATTATTTGTCCAAACCTAATTACGAAGCATGATTCTTCGCCAAGTAGGATTTCGAAGCACCAGAAGCAGCCACGTAGGCTCAGCGCATTCGGGAATTATATATAGAGGAGATATATATATATATATATATATATATATATATATATATATATATAGTTGGTTTCACATGAGAATGATTCACCATGAAAGAAATAAGAATAATTAGTAGCCATTAAATAGAATGATCTAATGACTAAGAAAAAGTCAAAAATATATCTTTATTAAGGGTATTTGAGTAATTTCCACACAAAAAGTGAACCCCACGTAATTCAAAATCTGCCCTTACGTCCCCAAAAAAAGTGGACCCAAATAATTAAAAATCTGGCCCCAACGTCCCACTCCACCAGGTTCTCTCTCTCTCTCTCTCTCTCTCTCTCTCACACACACACACACACACACACACACACACACACACAAAACTCACATTAATTACACGCACACGCACACACTCTGTAAATGGACTCCGTCGCCGGCCAACGTCCGAGAATGGAAGCCCGACCACTGTCGTGAAATCCGCCGCCGGTCGTCGTTCACTGCTCCTTTCTGACGCCATCTCCACCACCGATGCCGCCGACGAGGCTATCCATTGCCATCTTTGTAAAAACCAAGCAATATCGCAGATATTTGCAGAGAAAATGGGCGAGATATTTTGGGAAATTTTCAACTCATTTTTTTAGCTCAAACATTGTACGTACACCCTGCTCATATAGCAGTAGAACATTCATGCAACAGCTAAAACGACGTCGTGCTATTTATTGGAAACGACGTCGTTCGATAGACATTAAAACTAGAAAACAGAAAAAGAAATCGTGCATGCGACTTATTCCATTAACTCGAGCTTGACGGTTATAACTACCAGCTGGTCCTGTACATCATCTTCAACACCCTCCTCTCAAGTTGGGCCTCGATCAGCTGGAAGCATGCCCAACTTGCACACCAAAGAGGAGAACCTCTGACCAGCAATGATTTTTGTGAAAAGATCAGCCAATAGTTGATGAGATGGCACATAGTTCGGTGTAACAAAGCCTTGCTTGAATTTATCCCGCACCAAATACAATCTATCTCAAGATGTTTTGTTCTCTCATGAAAGACCGAGTTTGCAGTGATGTGTAGAGCAGCTCGATTGTCACACCACAGAGGGATAGGAAAGGATAAAGGAACATGAAATTCTTGAGCCAAGTAACTGATCCACATGAGTTCTGAAACTGTAGAGGCCATAGCTCTATACTCGGCTTCAGCAGATGACCTTGAAACTGTATGCTGCTTTTTGCTCTTCCACGAAATCAGAGCATCTCCTAGGAAAATGCAAAACCCTGTGATGGATCTTCTTGTATCTTTACATGTGGCCCAATCTGCATCACAGAAGGCAGTGAGAGTGGAGGCATCACCCTTTGCAGGATAGAACAACCCCAGTGATGGTGTGCCTTTGAGGTATTTAAGAATGTGCAAAGCTGCTTTCTAATGATCTTCATGTGGATTGTTTACAAACTGACTAAGCTGTTGAACAGCATAAGTCACATCAGGCCTTGTCATTCCCAAATAGAATGATCTTCCACTGATCCTTCTATACTGTTCAGGTTGCTGCATTGGCTGACCAGCTTGAACTTCTAGTTTAACTCCAAGTGGCAGAGGTGTTGAAGCTGGAGCACAACCAAGCATATTCAAATCACTGAGGATGTCAAGGATATATTTTCTTTGAAACAAAGAAACTCCAGTAGGGCAGTGTGTCATCTCAACTCCAAGAAAATATTCATCTGTCCCAAGGTCTTTTATGGTTAACTGATCATTCAAAAAATTCTTTAACTCCTTCACCAGAGTAGGACAAGATCCAGTCACCAAAACATCATCCACATATACCAATAATGCCAAGAATTTCCCATCTTTGTTAAAAGTAAAAAGGCAATGATCATAGGGAGACTGTATGAGCCCAAAGACTAGTTTTTTGCACAAATCATTATTCTATTCTCTTGATGCTTGCTTGAAACTGTATATGGTAACACAAAACTTCCCGACCGGTTGGAACTTGAATAGTCGCCTTCCTTCTTGCCGGTTGAGCGTCGTGCACCTACAAAGAACTCTCACACCGGAGGGGTTTTCCGGTGAAGAGCCTCCGAAGCTTAAGTCAGTGTGTATTCAATCAATTCTCAAGAGTAAGTAATAGAATGATCGTGTTCAACAAGAAAGGCTCACCCCCTTTATATAGGGATGAGATACCTGACCTAGGGCTTCCCGAATTTGATGAGCTGTCTGCCCCAACTGCCCGTCCGTACACACCATACGCGTGTTGTCAGAGGTAGCCATCGCCACTATCACCTGCACCAATCCCCTTTGGACGCGTGTCCTCCTGCACATGGGGTAGGCTGTCAGGGGTGGTTATCGCTATCCACCACTCCCTTTTTGACACGTATCCCCCTGCACATGGGGTGAATATTCTCCTAGAATTCTGTTGAAGGCTCTCTCACG